CCCCCCCACACACAGCCCTCCAGACCCGTGCGCAGGGCTGGGACTGTCCGGTTTCTGTGTCACCAGCATCTAGCAGGCTGTCAGGAGCGTGGTAACTGTCCTCCCTCCCTCAGGAGCTGGACAGCCTCGGTGTGGGACCTGTGACCGGTGGACGCGATGGATCTGGCCTATGTCTGCGAGTGGGAGAAATGGCCCAAGAGCACCCACTGTCCCTCAGTGCCCCTGGCCTGTGCCTGGTCCTGCCGCAACCTCATCGCCTTCACCACAGACCTCCGAAACGACGACCAGGGTATGCCAAGGGATGGCTCCCCCCCCCAACCCCCCCACCGTGGTGCGGGTGTGGTACCCTCGGCTCCCACGTGCGGTGTCCGGAACGTGCTGCGGGGGCCTCCTGGGAGCTGCCCATCACCCGTGTACGTCCCCTCAGGTTTTCCTCGTCCGTCACTGGGGTGCTGAGAACCCCAGCCTCATAGGGGTACAGAGGGCAGGTGGGGCTGTTTCCAGGAGAACTGGGATCACTTCCATGTCAGCAGGTGGACTGAGGGGTGCGTGGAGTGGAGGCTTGCTGGAGACGGGTCCAGCTGGTGTCCCCTTTCCAGACTGTCCATGTCACCATCCTCCAGTGTTTCTTGTTGTTTGACTGACGTGCTCGTCAGAGGGAATTTTAAAAGCTTGGAAACTGAGCGTGAGGTGAAGAACCAGCCCTCGTCTCTGAAGAGATGCCCGCTGTCAGCATTGCTCTTGTTCTCCTTCCGGCGTCCACTTCTGCTCCTTGTGTCTCTTTCAAAGCGTTATAGTCACGCCGGCCGCCACATCGCGGGCCTGTTGCCTTCTCCGGCAGGGCAGGTGGCTCGTGTGGTCAGCAGTGGCTCTGCCTTGCGGGTGTGATGTGCCCAGGTGCCTCAGCGACACCGCGTGGGATCCTGAGGTGCTTGGGCCGTGTGTGTCTGTGCCAAGCTGACTGCACCTTCTCTTGGCCCGCAGACCTGACCCGCATGATCCACATCCTGGACACAGAGCACCCCTGGGACGTGCACTCCATCAACTCGGAGCACAGCGAAGCCATCACCTGCCTGGAGTGGGACCAGTCAGGTGAGGGCGGCCTGGGGTCCCGCGTGGTGGGGGTGGGGGCGGCATCGCTTGCCCTGGACCCTGAATCTCAGAGCAGGGTGCGCCGACTCTTCCTGGGCATGTTCCCAGAGTCCAAATCCTGTATCTGTGGCCATCGCTCTGTTCTCCACGCATCCAGCGGTGTCTCTGGCCGCGCCTGCCCCCCAGCAGGCTGGCTTCTCCCGGGCCATCCGCATGCTGCAGGCGGCTGCTCCTGCCCATGTGGGGATTTGTGACTCAGGTCGAGGCCTCCTCTCTGCCGCCAACAGGCTCCCGGCTGCTGTCAGCTGATGCCAATGGGCAGATCAAGTGCTGGAGCATGGCTGACCACCTGGCCAACAGCTGGGAGAGCCCCGTGGGCAGCCTGGTGGAGGGGGACCCCATCGTGGCCCTGTCCTGGCTGCACAACGGCGTGAAACTAGCCCTGCATGTGGAAAAGGTGGGTGTCCTGCAGGTGCGCGGGTCACCAGCCAACCCGTCACTCCCGCCACCCCTCAGCAGTCAGGCCACCCCGATTCACAACACCCTAGAATCCTCTGTCCTGCGTTCAGCCGGACTGCACGGTTTCGAGTGGGGGTGCCTGGGCCGGGCGCCTGCGTTCAGCTCCTGACTTCACGGCAGTTGTCACTTGCTGCGTGTCCCGCGGGGTTATCGCCAGGTCCTCAGGATTCGCTGCGGGGCGTGGCCGGGCCGTGCGGGGTGAAGCTGCGGGCGCTCAGCCGCCTTTTGGCCCTGCACACACGCTGGGCCGTGCTGGGGGCCAGAAAGCCCCGGAGTGGCGCAGTCGAGGGCGCTTTTCTGTCACTTCCCCGGCTCTGCCATCCTCGGTGGCCGGCCAGGATCCCCGGGGCGTTGCTGTCAGTGTGGCCACTGCGCCAGGGGACACTCGGCGGGTCCTGACACAGCCCCCTTTGGCCATGTACTGCATGTTTTTGGCAACCAGCTCTATCAAGGTAGAAGTCACATACCCAGCCCTCGGGCCACCAGCTCTCTGGCCGCACGCCGGAAGCAGCCTGTCGGGGCGCCGGAAGACAGAAACTGGCACCAGCCAAAGACTTGGCGTGACTCTTGACAGAAGAGGGTCGCTCGTGGTGTCCTCTGGGAGGCCTTCCCTGGGTCTTCCGTGTGCAGCGAGGGGCCTGGCTGCCGGAGAGGCCTCACGTGGTCTCAGTTAACCCCTGTGGGTCCCTGTGCTCGTGGCGCGCTGCCGCTGTATCTGGGGGGTGGCCCCCGGGGGGGTCACGGGCAGGCTCCGGTGGCGTGGCGCAGTGAGCAGCCCGCCTCCCTGCAGTCAGGTGCCTCCAGCTTCGGGGAGAAGTTCTCCCGGGTCAAGTTCTCGCCGTCACTCACCCTGTTTGGAGGCAAGCCCATGGAGGGCTGGATCGCCGTCACGGTCAGCGGCCTGGTCACCGTGTCCCTGCTCAAGCCCAGCGGGCAGGTGCTGACGTCCACGGAGAGCCTGTGCCGGCTGCGTGGCCGCGTGGCCCTGGCCGACATCGCCTTCACGGGCGGCGGCAACATCGTGGTGGCGACGGCCGACGGCAGCAGCGCGTCCCCGGTGCAGTTCTACAAGGTGTGCGTGAGCGTGGTCAGCGAGAAGTGCCGCATCGACACGGAGATCCTGCCCTCGCTCTTCATGCGCTGCACCACCGACCTCAACCGCAAGGACAAGTTCCCCGCCATCACCCACCTCAAGTTCCTGGCCCGGGACATGTCGGAACAGGTGAGTCCTGCCGGGCGCCGGTCCTCCCGGCCGTGGGGACGCGGGCGAGACCCCCACGCGCTTCTCACCGTGGCGGTGCCCAGGGTCCAGTCACAGGGGCTAAGCCGGGCGGGGCAGCCGCTCCTCTGAGCCCCCCTCCTCCCCCGTAAGCACGACCGGGAGGACACTGAACCCTGCGAATGCGGACGCTCCCCCGCCTCGGGGTCTCCGTTAACCCCCCACGGGGTCTCCAGACCACTTGCCCTGGGTTTGGGGTGTCGACGTGTCCAGGGCTGCTGCTCTGCTGACCTCACCAGGTCACCCCGTGCGCCAGGAAGCCCCAAGCGCCCCGCCACCCAGGGCCCTCCCTCTCCCTTGGTGCTCTGGCCCAGGGGTCCCTCCCCAGGCAGTGAGCCCAGCAGAGGCACCCCCTGCGGGCCCCAGGTTTGGGGTGGGCGCCCAGAGGCCCCTCGCCAGCCCGTGCCTGCGCCTGCCCCCCAGGTGCTCCTGTGCGCGTCCAGCCAGGCGAGCAGCATCGTGGAGTGCTGGTCCCTGCGGAAGGAGGGGCTCCCCGTGAACAACATCTTCCAGCAGATCTCTCCCGTGGGTGAGTCCGGGCACCCGCTGTGTGCCGCCTGTGGCGCGGCCGCGCCCTGCCCCGCGCCCTCCCCCATCACCCAGCGGGAGACGCTCCTGCGGGGAGCGTGTGTGGCCGCGGCAGTGCTCTGCGGAGGACACGGCCCCAGGCCGGAGCTGGGCCGGGCCGGCCGCAGATGCCCACTGGACAAGCCCGCCCGGCCCCGGCCCAGCGTGGGCCCCCAGGGCTGCGAGGGCTCCCGGGCTGCTCGGCTGTCCAGCCTCAGCCTCCGCGGGCGGGGGTGGGGGGGCCTCATCGTCGGGAAGGGGAAGCCCAGCACGAGTTGGCCACATTGCGAGGAATTTGGGGGGCTGTGTGGTGGCCAGGCGTGGGGTGACAGTCCACAGTAGCTTCTCGGGACACGGCCCATGGGGGAAGGGCGCCCCTCACCCCAGCTGCGCGCTGCTCTCTCGGGCAGCACCTCCTGCACCTCAGACGTCCTGGGGCTGCTTCCCGTTGGTCGCCTCGGGGCGTGTGCCCACCTGGAGCCGGTCATCCGGCTGGGGCCTGGGCCGCTGGGGGTCCCGGGAGAGGGCCGAGCGGGGCCCGGGAGAGGGTCGGTCTGGCCTGCGTCCTGCAGGCTCCGCCGGGGGGCATTTCAGCCTTCCCTTTCTCGCCTTTGGTTGACCCCCTTTGGGGACCCCCTTTTCAGTTGGTGACAAGCAGCCCATGATTCTCAAGTGGCGGATCCTGTCCGCCACCAACGACCTGGACCGTGTGTCTGCGGTGGCACTGCCCAAGCTGCCCATCTCGCTCACCAACACTGACCTCAAGGTGGCCAATGACACCCAGTTCTACCCAGGCCTGGGTAAGTGCGCCGGTGCTTGTGTGCAGGGTGTGGCTGGCGTCGGGCGGGGCTGCCCGGCAGGTGGCCGCCCTGCAGGGCCCAGTGATCCGCGGGGCTGTGAGGCTGGCTCTGCTCTTGGGGTGCAGTGGGTGCTGGAATCGGTGACGGGTTGGGGACTCCCCGTGTAGCTGCCTCTTGCCCAGCTCAGGCCCTGGAGTCCACAACCAGGGGTCAGCGTTTGCCCAGCCAAGGTGCGGGCTGATAATGCTCCCTCGGCCATCTGTGGGGGGAGAACGCACCCCAGGGGTGTCTGTCAAGGCTCACGTCCCCGCCCCACGCCCGGTCCTCTCCAGTTGACGGGGAAATACCAACACGCACCCCGGCTCGGGGCTCCCGCTGAGAGGCCGAGGGGCCGCCCAGCTCTTGGCCCGAAAACACTTCACTGCCCATGTCCGGCCTCCCCTGTGTCCCTTTACCATCCTGGGTTGTGCGTCCCTCGAATCCGGGAAGCCGCGCGCCTCTGAGAAGCGGCCCTCAGAGCAGCTGTTGGCAGCGTGTTTGGTTTCCAAGACAGTTGGAAGTTTTGGTGGCAGGGACGGCCCGGCCCTGTCCGCGTGGATCGCTCGTGAATTCTCCGGAACCCTGTGGCCGGCCCCTGTGGCCGGCCCCTGTGGCTGGCCCCGGAGAGTGCCGTCGCCCGGACGCGGGGCCTTGGTTCCGCCCTCCCTGCCCCACGGCCGCGGCCCCGGGCCGCTGCACAGTTGGGGGACAGACGGCCGTGAGGGCAGCTGGAGGTGGCGGTCCGGGGGGTGGGACGAGGGCGCCTGTCCGCTGTGGTCCCCCCTGACCCCACACGCCCCTCAGGGCTGGCCCTGGCCTTCCACGACGGCAGCGTCCACATCGTGCACCGGCTGTCGCTGCAGATCATGGCCGTCTTCTACAGCTCCGCGGGCCCGCGGGCGGTGGACGAGCCCGCCATCAAGCGCCCCCGGACCGCCGGCCCCACTGTCCACTTCAAGGCTATGCAGCTCTCCTGGACCTCTCTGGCCCTCGTGGGCATCGACAGCCACGGCAAGGTGGGCTGCTGTGGGGCCGCAGCCTGGTGGGGACAGCGCACTCCGGGGAGCCTGGCGGTGGGGCCCCCCCGTCCGCTGTCCTAGAAGTCCTGGGCGGCGCGTGAGCCCTCAGGCAGGCACTCGGGTGGCCGGTACTGCCCTCCTCGGTCTGGGGGGCTTGTGCTCCAGCTCGTGGGGAGGTGTGCGTGCTGCCCGCTGCTCAGGTGGGAGCGTGGGGCGCCGGCGGGCCCCCCGCGGGCTCACGGCGCCCCTCCGCAGCTGAGCATGCTGCGCATCTCCCCGTCCATGGGGCACGCGCTGGACGTCAGCCTGGCGCTGCGGCACCTCCTCTTCCTGCTGGAGTACTGCATGGTGACGGGCTACGACTGGTGGGACATCCTGCTGCACGTGCAGCCCGCCATGGTGCAGAGCCTGGTGGAGAAGCTGCACGAGGAGTACACGCGCCAGAACGCCGCCCTGCAGCAGGTGCGCCCCCTCCCCCGGCCGCGCGTCTCGCCCCAGCGGGCGGGTCTTTCCCGGGCCTGGCGTGCCCGGGGCCCCGGGTGGCGCCTGCAGCAGCCAGGATCAGTGGGCACGAGGGCGGGGCAGGGGGCAAAGAGGAGCGTCTGCGGCGAGGAGGTCGCGGCCCGGACCAGCAGCCTCCACGAGGGTGTCCGAGGCTCGGGGGCCCAGCCAGGATCGCGGGCGACCGCACTCGAGAAGCAGGAGGCAGGCCGCACGCTGCAGCGGCCGGGGGGGCTGGCCACCGGGGGTCCCGGGAAGCGGGCCACGGCGCCCACACCCGTGTCCGAGCACCGCAGCGGGAGCCAGGCCCGGCTCCCAGGGGGGCCCACAGGCCGGGCGCTCGCCCCACTGGGCCGGAGGGGGGCGCCCCCCACCTGAGCGACGCCCGCCGCAGGTGCTCTCGACGCGCATCCTGGCCATGAAGGCCTCGCTCTGCAAGCTGTCGCCCTGCACGGTGACGCGCGTGTGCGACTACCACGCCAAGCTCTTCCTCATCGCCATCAGCTCCACGCTCAAGTCGCTGCTGCGCCCGCACTTCCTCAACACGCCCGACAAGAGCCCCGGCGACCGGCTGACCGAGGTCTGCGCCAAGATCACTGACGTCGGTGAGTCGCGCCCGGCCGTGGCCACCGGCGCCCCCGAGACGCGAGGGCCGTGTGACCGCGGCGCCGGTGTGACCGGCGTGTGCCGGGGGCTCTCGCGGAGCTGCAGGCCGTCCCGTGTGGCGGTGGCAGCATCGGCTGTCCACGCCCTCACGGGCTCCGGGGCTGTGCGTGGGTGGCGGCGCCAGGAAGGGGGGAGCCGCCTTGCAGAGCGGGGTGCGGGCTCTGGCCAGCCCCACCCTCTAGGCCTAGCTTTTCTGGAAGTGCTAGGACTGCGTGCACAGGGGCAGCGCCCGTACCCCCTTGCTCGGAACTGAGGGCACTGCGGCCCCAGCGCCTTCCTCCACGGCCCCCACTTGTCCTGGTGCCGTGTCGGCCCGCAGGGCACAGCTGCAGGCCTGCTCAGCCGGGGCTGGCGGCGGGACTCAGGCGGGCGTGTGCACGCTCCACCCGCTGTCTCCTTGCAGACATCGACAAGGTCATGATCAACCTCAAGACCGAGGAGTTTGTCCTGGACATGACCACCCTGCAGGCGCTTCAGCAGCTCTTGCAGTGGGTGGGCGACTTCGTGCTCTACCTGCTGGCCAGCCTGCCCAACCAGGTGCGCACCTGCCCCCGCCCCGCCCCACCCCCAGGGCCTGCCGGGACGAGGCTGCTTGCCTGGAACACACTCGAGGCCTCCGCAGGGCTCCCCACTGCGGCCAGGCCACAGCTTCCTGCGGGACGGCGCCTCCCTGGGCACGCTGCGTGAGCTCATGGTGGTCATCCGCATCTGGGGGCTGCTGAAGCCCAGCTGCCTGCCCGTGTACACGGCCACCTCGGACACCCAGGACAGCATGTCCCTGCTCTTCCGCCTGCTCACCAAGCTGTGGATCTGCTGTAAGACACCGGGAGGCCCCTCCCC